TGCATTCCAGCATATTCAAATCGACATGCTCTGAGTTGTGACTGCTGCAGTGGAACGAATTGCATCTCTTCATATGGAACTGCTTTGCACAGCAGCAGCTCATTCCTGAAACACATTCCAGTCCCGAAAACAAGTGGACTTCGCTGTTTTTAATTGTACCTTAAACAATATTTTTATTTATACCACTTGGAAAGGGTGTCCACAGCCACATCTGTTTGCAAAACCAGTCCTGTGTGAGGATGTTTTGTGTCACTGTGCCCAAYAGCTGGCACAGCTGAAGGGCCAAATTTACTCCAGGGCTGCAAATACAGAGATGTGAATGCCAGATTCAGCTTTGGGGAAATGTGATTTATCAGGAGGAGCACAAGAAAGCTGATAGCACCCCACAGAATTGAAGAAGCTGGGAAAGAGTTACTCAGCCAGAAATCCAGCTCTGCATCCAGGTGCTCCTTGGAATGCGGCCAGATTGCTGATGGATCAAGTGAAAATATGCAGATACAACATGTGAGCAGCAAAGGAAAACCCTAAGCCAAATGGTCTTATGGCAAGGTTGTGAGTGGMTGCTCTAAAAGCAAAGCAGCCCCTTTGGGTGTCAGTGTGGATCTGCAAAAACACAGCGGCTCAAGGGGCTTCATCTGGCAGGAACCAAACTCATCTCCTGATTTTTGCAAAGAAGTTCTCGTTCTGGGAACAGAAGAACCCATCCTTGAGCCCTGTCCCAGTCCTGACTGTGAAAGGTGATATTTATTGCACAAAGGGAGTTCTCAGCACACACCCCATGACCTCCACTGCCCCCTGCTCTGTCTCACATCCCTCACTTCGAGCACACATCTGTGCTGCTCAAACTCCCAGGGGACATTTCCAGGGGAGAGGACTCAGCACTGCTGACAGCAGCTCAACTCCTCTTCTCTGAGCTCCTATTTCTTCACTGTCCCAAAACCACCCCTTGATTTCTGTGAGCCCAATGCTAGGTAAGCACACATCACACTTACATTGTTTCACACACCTGGTTTTGGACTATAGAGCTCRCAACAAAGCATTAAAAATGTGCTTTTTTTATCATGAGAGACACCTAATTCCCCATCTAAAGGCCCAAATATGCCTTACAATGAAAATGCCATACAGCTCTCTGGTCATTCCAGAGTTCTCTGAAGCTCCATTAGAAGATCATCAAGGGCTAATTGTATGGAAAAGCAGCTGATAGAAATAGCTCATCATCCTGTAATCTGTTCTACATTAAACCTCCTCAGGGGGTTTGGAAGCAGAACACCAACATCCACACAGATCCCTCCAGCATTTCGAGCTCGGAGCAAAYGCTCAAGTTAGCAACAGAACAAAAACAATTATGAAGAATATCCTGTATAGCCTCAGCCACATAAGATCTCAATCAAAACAACAGCAAAGAACATATTCAGCRTGGTATGTTCCAAGGGATACATTTGTTGCTCTGATTTCATTGACTGCAGATGGCCAGCGTCAAAAGAACAAACCAGAATTATTAGAAAAAGGTGATTCATGGAAAGARCCCTCCTGGAYATTTCCCTGYTCCTTGGTGAAAGTTGGCAGACTCKCTCCTAAAGAGGGGTGGCATCTTGKATTTCTGYTTGCAYCAAAGGTAAAGTCCCTMCACAGCAAAAAAGTTTGGAGAAATTTATACCTATATTTCTAGACTTTCCCCATCTCAGAGAAACAGTAAGAGTGGCAGTCATTTCAGGAACATCCCCTTGGGAAGGCACTCAAGACTCTGCCACATTTCTGGGGGTTTGGGTGGCTGCTTCTGACTTCTGATCCCAGTGACCCCAGCCCAACATCCTCACAGMATCATTTCCAGAAGGAAATGTTTCCTCTGTTCTTTCAGTCACACGATTTTTAAAAAGGTAAAAGCAAACAAAAATTGTCGGGAGGCAATTCACAGCTAACAGCACCTCCAGCTTCAAAAGTGCAGAATCACAGTTATTACTGATGACAAATGCAAACAGATTAATGTAGGCCAGTGCTATTCCTCTTCCTGATAAAGTAATTGCTCAGAAAGGGAGCACGAAGCACGTCTGAAAGGAACACAGAGCACTTTGAACAAAGGAAAGCGTTTTACCACAGAATGAACTTAACTTCTCCAAGCACCGTGATGGATACTTGGTGCTCCAGCAAAATGGAGTAACAGAAACCACCTTAAAAGCACTTCTGGTAAAGACCGTGAAAGTATGYATTGCACACAAAGCCGGTGAGCGATAGGCTTGGAAATCTCGATTTTCAGACAGAATAAATAACTAAACTGAAAGCAGATATAAGGCGTTAATTATGAACGAGTGGGASGAAGTTGATGAAGATAAAAAAAACAGGAAGATAAGGTTAGAAATCAGGGTATACAAAGACATCTGAAAAGGCTTTTGTCAGGTTGTTTTGAGAGGGGGAGCAGAGGGACACAACATTCCTTAAAAACACAGCAGGAGAAAGGTACACAAAGCAGGAAACAGTTTCCAGAAACATTCAATTTCAACACGCAAAAAATTTAACCACGGATTTTGCTCATGCTGCCAGGTACTCTCTGTCAGAACCTGACCAGAGATCTTCCTCTGGACACAAACACTACATTGCACTGACAACAAGGGGCGTTTGCTGCAGAACACCCCGAGAAACTTCCCCGGCAGCCGCACACGTGTGGCCCCGRGCTCTTTGTGCGCTCCCGGCCGCGGGTGATGCTCCCGCTGCTATTTCCATCCTTCATCCCTGTTTTTATCCCCGTGCCCCTCCATCCCCCGCGGCACCGCCGAGCCCTCCCTACAAACCCCATCCACAACTCTGCGGGGACACGCGGAGCTGCAGCGCACCCACCCGAACTTCCCCGGGGAGCCGAGAGGTGCGGGATGCTCCCTGCAGGGACAGGGGCGGTGTGTCCCGGCCGTGCTGAACCCCGCACAGTTATTCACATACCGAGTCCCGCACAGTTATTCACATCCTGAACCCCGCACAGTTATTCACACACCGAGTCCCGCACAGTTATTTACATCCTGAACCCCGCACAAACTCACTCACATTCCCCGCACAAGCTCACTCACATTCCCCGCACAAGCTCACTCACATTCCCCGCACAAGCTCACTCACATTCCCCGCACAAACTCACTCACATTCCCCGCACAAACTCACTCACATTCCCCGCACACACTCACTCACATTCCCCGCACACACTCACTCACATTCCCCGCACACACTCACTCACATTCCCCGCACACACT